CGCATTGGGTAAACCTGCTGACGGCGTCCCAGGGGGCTTGTTGTCACCTTTTGGGGACCCATGGTGTTGTACGTGGCTGGGTGGAGGAAGTGACCTTCAATGACATCAGTGAGGACAAGGAACGGGACATGGCTAGCTTGGTATCCAACCTTGTGCAAATGGGGAGTTTGCGGTTGTGCAAATGGACTGTTTGCGGTTGTTTGCGTTAAACGGGGAGTTTGGTCTGTCACTGTGAAGCAGACGTAACCCTTACACTACCTGATCGATACAACATCATACCTGATGTTTTAAAGCACGTTATTCCAAACAATTTAGGAATGTTAGGTGATTTCTGCCCTTTATGGATTAAAACCAGACTCTGCATCAACTATGTAATTTTCCATGGGAGTTTTGCCGTGGATCCCCCTCCGGCATGCCACAGTCCAGGTGTTAGTCCCCTTTAAACAACTTTTCCATCACTATTGTGGCCAGAAAAGGTCCCTGTGGGTTTTAAAATTCGCCTGCCTATTGAAGTCTATGGCGGTTCCCCCCGTTTGCGATCATTTGCGGAAGTTCTGGCATCCCTACAGCACATAGCAGCATCATTTACTACAAGATTTAAGGAATGAGCACTGCAGGGGACATAGAAAGCACGTGAGTTCAGGTCCATGATTCTTTTTTGTACTCCTGAGTGCTTTCCCTTCATGTTGGAGCCATTATCATACCCTTGACCTCTCATATCACTGAGTGGTATCTTCAGCATTTCAAGCTCATTCAAAATTGCCTCTGTTAATCCTTCTCTAGATGAGTTGTGAACTGGCAGGAAACCAAGAAATCTTTCCTCAATGTGTATTTCAGGATTTGCAGTTGGTGAGTCTCCTTGCTTAACAGATACAAACCTGAAAACCATAGTCATCTGTTCAACAAGAGTGATGTCAGGGGTGCAGTCAAGTATAATGGAATAGTACTTGGCATCCTTAAGCAACCGTAGAATGCGTCTCGGTATTTCTTTTGAAATTAAACCAATTAGTTCATTTTGGATGTCTTTTCCTTAATAATGCTGATGAATTTCTGAATTCTGTATCTTTTTCATGTTGCCATCATTTCTACAAGTTTCAAGTAATTTCCATTATTTTCAGAGTACAGCGTGTCACTGCTGCCCCTGAAGGCCAAGCACTGCTTCCAAAGATATTGAACAATGGCTACAAGCCGCTGAAGAACATTCTGCCAGTGCTGCGTTTCAGTTGCAAATAATCTTTGGTATGAATGGTCAATAGTACTTCCAGACCTAAACCTTGTTAACAGTTCTGTCCAGTCTCCCATAGCAGTGAGGTGAGATGGAGACACTTCATGTGTAGCCAGACACTGGGACAAATTTTTCCAATCATTGTAGCCTCCCGTTGTCAGGCTCATTTTCGTAGTTGTAAAGAGTTTACAACAAAAGCAAAATATTTTGTCCAGTCTAGGAGAATAACTAAGCCACTTTCTAACATGCACTTTACCATTTCGAAGGCGCCGTCTATAGTGGGTTGATGTAAACCGTCTCTTGGATGCATCTTTAGGAAATGCAAAGTGCTCTTTTGGCTTTGCCGCACCTTTCAGAACGATGGTTTCTTTTAGTGAGCTAGTAAGCGTATCAGGCCAGTCAGATGGATCAAAGAAGTCTACCAGCGTGCTTTTTCCATTTTCATCTTCTGATGATGATGATTTCTGTGAACTCTCTTCTTCGGTGTTTGTATCACTTTCTATGCCCAAAGAATGTTCACCCACAGTTGAAGTAGAAGGGTGTGGTTCGACATCTACAGCTTCACAATTCTCTTTAGTTTTAAACTCCATCTCGCTTACAGCTTTTAGTACTGGATCAGGTTTAAAAAACCTTTTTAATGATCCAGCCATCTTAGAAGTGTCTTCTTCTTGGAGCCTTCTTTTCTTTCGGAAAGCAGTACCAGACAATTTCTTTCGTGGTGCAGACATCTTGTTCAATTATCAAAATAACTATTGTAGAATAAATGTACATCAAAAATTAATAATAGTCAATTAATATTCTATTTGATGATCATTAAACTACAATAATACCTGAAAATCATTTAGAAACCTACTGTACATATGTGCGCACGTGTGGGAGTGTGAAAGACGCAAAAATATATGTGTATGTAAGGCTATTGCTAAGTTTTGCATGTATGAGAGCAGTTGATGTAAACATGAAGAATTAAAATGGAGAGGGCAAGTGAGAGCTAGCACCCCCCATGCACAGACACACAATCATACAGCGTCACAACATAAGTACACAACTACACACAGTCACAAACATTCACCTACAGTAATACATGGTCAGTCACATTACAAAGTCACATACAAGGTAATTCAATCTTCTATCTGGGTCCATGCAACAAAATGTAATGGGGAGTTACTCTGTGTACCCCCTCTGAACTATTCCTATCGCCCCTTGTTGGCACGCTACTGAAGTGACAATGTTTCAGCCTCAAGATACTGTAACGGCTCACCTGGCACCCCGACTGGTTACCTCCGTTGAAAGCTGCTCCTAGCACTTCCTGAGGACTCCAAGCACTGCAGCAGACACCAAAACCACTGAAGCGTAGGAGCATATGAATGCTCTCAAGCATATGAATGTTGTCTACATCCGAATAGGAAAAAGAATGCAAATAGGTTTACACTCCTAGCAGACTGGAACAGCATACAATAAATCCTCCCCCAGTAATGAGACGACACTTCACTTTGAGGGTTAAGCAGGAACTCTCTGGAATGGCACATACAGCCTCTTTTATTCCCAATCCACAAATTTAGTACTGCCCACAGGGTTTTACAGAACAACCAATAACACGTA